TTTACCATCACTATATAAGAAGAGATATTGAGAAGTTATGGAACTGTTGCAAATATCTAGCCTGACTCAAAGCTTTCCAAAAGTAAATTTTGCATTGCAGAGTTCATTGCAAAAGTCTGTTGCTGTAAATAGTAATAATATTAATTAAGAATGGGTTGGGAATCTTACCTTAAAAGGCAAAGTAAATAAGGTAACTGCCGCATTTAGGTATAGTGATAATCCAGCATAGTTTCAGCTTGTTTCCTTGTGTATTTCAACACAAGGAAGAAGTGTCTTGTCTTTCTTTGTTGAAATGGTAAAGCCCCAGGTGTTTTGTCCAGGTATTTACAAGTACCAGTACATAATAAACAAGAGAAGCAGAAGCGCAGTAAAAATATTGTATATTCTTTAAAGATTGAATCAGTCCCAAGTAGTTGATAGAATCAGGAAAAGTCTACTTTGTGTAATGATGTAAATACCAAGAGATACTCTTGTGTGTATAATAATAATAAACAGAAAATGTACTTCATAACAATTTCTCCTCTTTTTTTTCCACTTCATGGGTTTAAAAAAAAAAAGTTGAAAATCTAGATAATTTTTTAAAGATGTACTGTATTACAAAGGTCAGAAATTATTCCATTCTGTGTACATGGAGGGGAGCTCCTTTCCCTGTTTAGTTCAATTAATAATGAACATTAACGAATTACGATGTTTATTGCTTTTTTTTTTTTATCTTGTGTGTCCAGCACTTGAGCAGGCAGGTGGAAACAGTCTAGCTATATTTTACTGGCAGATTTCTCTAAGTTTGACTGTTACGAAGGTACCATTAGATGAGTGTTTTTCTATAATACATCTTCTGCTATTTCCAGGTATGATCTTAAAACAGATGAGCGTTATTTACCTGCTTTTCTGGAATAGCAGATCATGTTTCTTTGTACAGGGGATAGATGATAAGTGAATTAAGCACATGAGCAGCTAGCCGGTTTGCTTAGGGAGTCTGGTGTTGAGACAAGGAGGTTATGGCAGGATACAGAGCAGTCTGGAGGAAAAATACACTGAATGTGACCGTTCTGGTAGAACAACTGAATTGAAATGGGGACACTACTGTTAATTCATGTGTAATTACATTTCTTTGTTGTTAAAAATTAAATCTTGGGCAAGAATAAAGTTTGAGTCTGGAACTGTGTTTTGAAGCAAATTGGAACTGATACCTTTCCAAAAACCTTTGGAGACTGCCCGGACGTAGTCACCAGAAGACAGTTGCCTGATGAACACGTTTATGTTCCTTTATCATCTAACTTTTCCGTGAGTTTATCAGCATCTTTCATCATGCAAGTTATTTGTAAAATATCACCTACTACAAAGCTTTACTTCTCTTCTCTCCACTAAACCGCAGTTTGAGGGAAGGATTCACCATGCACTGTTCTTTCCTGTGCAACCTCTGAGTCAGCCATCCGGAAACCCCTGCTTTTGGGGGCTGGCATTTAAATCTGCACAAATTTCTTTGCAGTTCATCATACTTAATGTGATCACTTCCGTAGGACCAGAGGCCCCAAAGCTGTCCTAGCAGAAGGAATTCTGCAGGAGTCTCAGCAGGCATAGGATTGCAAGACCTTTGTACCTTGAGATTTGTACCTTAAAAATTGTGCATGCATTCTCTGTGACATGGTAGCAACCTGCAGCATTTCTCCCTGTAAAGTACGCTTTTAAATGCTTTTATGTTTCATGTAATGATTATTCTTCCAACACCTCTGCCCCCAACTCCCCAAGATCTTGTTTTTAAATTCTTTTTTTTTTTATGTGAGGAATTCCCTTTCACTAGGAATTGTGGAATTATTGCATATGAAGAGTACTCCCCTTTTTGCTCTTCCCCATCAGTATCTCAGTTTGATGCATCTAGTTTGGCTGCCAGTTGTTCATATTTCAAGTCCAGGCAGTAAGTTTGTCTTTTCACAGGAGTATCAGTTCTGGTGTTTTCTCAACTGCTTGTTTCTCTGGTGCTTGTCCTTCCCTTGTCCCCCATTGTACTGGTATGTACTTCAAAATACTGGACTTAGTTGAACTAACAAAGAGGTGGCACACCAGTATGTTGCCCAAGGCTGGTGTCCTTCATACTGGCCACAACATGCAAAAATGATTGTGTTAGCTTTTGCTGTGTTTGCAAACAAATGAAGCTTAATATCTCTGCCCAGGCTCCAAATTACCTGTGAGATTCTTTATTTAATCATTTCAATCTGTGTTGCTCGTGGCTTTTCAACCTCTATTAGACCTCGTGTCAGAGAGTGCCAGCACCGCAGAACAACAAGGTTCGCTGACTGGCTGGCTCTGTGCTTTCTTGTGTGTTGTCTTTATTGTATTTGTGGGATTTATTGTTATTTCACTACAAATCTTCACAATTATTTTTTTAAGTTCTGTATTAACCCTGAAAAGTTATGGAATTGGCTTAAGAATTAAAAGGCTTTCAAAGCATCCTTGTCCTGAAACAACTCTGCAGGGCATGAATAAGTAACAAATGGATTGTTTTTCAGTCAAAATGAATCAGCTGACATGAGCTTCCCTGTGAAAAATCTAGTTGAGTTTTTACGGATACCTGTAGGGTTATATTTCTCTCCTCTTAAGTTATACAATAATTTAGATTACTTTGAATAAATGATTGTAGGCTGAATCATAGATCTTCTTGATCTTGAGAAGATCAAAATGTATGAGATTCTGTTTTTGAGAGGATGTATTTTGTCTGTGTTTTTACAGTGTATGTTTAGCATGATGCTGGATTGATTAGATGATTTCCTGAAGCCACAATTTAGTTCTTCAGGGTCTGACTGTCATTTTTTTAAAAATACAATGTGCGACAAAAAGCCATACTGGTATTTATGGTGGTTGATTCACAATAATTCCAGACTAGATGGAGGTGGATATTTAAAGAGCATATCAGCTGATTGAAGATTTTGAGGAAATACTGCTTGCAGTTTCATTCTTAAAAATGTTTTTTTCTTTCTCTTCCATGTCAGTCCATGATAAATATGTGTATAAAGTTATTATTGTCATACATGTTATGATTATACCTATAGTTTTCGTAATAAATACCTCCAGTGTAAGTTGTACTGTGATATATTTAACCATCACTTTTCCTTTGTTACTTTCAGTATAAATCTTCTGAAAGGACCATAAATAAATAGCTGGTCTGAAGTAGCTTTTCTTTTTCCTCAATGTGACCTTAATTTAGAGGATAATAGGATTTTCTTTTTAAAATTCCCTTGAAAACACTCATTTTAGAGGTGAAAGACTTTGCTTTTTGCTTCTGATAATTACAGTCCCAGATTTGCTCAGATTAGACTAATCTGGTCTTCCCATTTGATGTCTTGCACACTGCACACTAAATGTCTCCACTCGGCTTTCTTGCGTCTTTCACCAATGCAGTGTCTTATTCCTACCCGGTGGCTTGTAAGGAGGTGGCTGAAGGAGCTCCCCTGAATGCTCTTTCGGAAGTTTGGCCGTGTATTCAAAGTTGTGTTCTCTCTTTAACATCTGGCGAGTGTGAAATTTTAAAGTTGAGTGTTTTCACTGGGGTGTTGAGCATTCCCTGACATGGTTTCTTGTAAATCTGTTGTTTTTCACCAGCGGGAAGCTTCGAAGTGCTGGGAGGTAAGTGCTGGTCTTCAGCCTGCTGAGCTTTGCGTAAACCCCTCATGCCAAATTTTTAGTATGAGCCCTGCAGTGTGGTCGATGAAGTCTCTTTGCTGTGGTCGCTGGGATAGCTGCATCCAGGACTTGCCTATTGAGAGCCTTGCAAACGAGCTGGGAAGGCAATGAGGAGAACTGACAGCTGTGAGGTCAATCCTGCAGCTTTGGCAGTTAGTGTGTGAAAAGGTCCTGTGGTAGCATTGGTGATGATGCTTTGGTATTAATCTTGAATACCTCTAAAATGTTCTGTGTTATTAAACCGATAGTGGTGATGTTTATTAATGGTACCGCTGTGGGAAGGGAACGAGACACCTTTAGAGCCC